GGGGGGCCGGGGGGGGGGGTTGGGGTGGTGGTGTTTAAAACCCAATTATACACCTAAGAAAAAGATTGGGATAGCTTTGTATCCCTTTGTTGAAAAACACCTCTGCTCATGCTACACAAAGAAGCCATTCTATCGATATCTTGTTAACGGCAGAAGGTTAGCACAAAGCACATTAATTAACGACACATGATAGCTTGCGTCTATCTCTTCCAAACCATCTCGCCCCTTTTTTTTTTTTTTTTTTTTTTTTTTTGTTATCTTGACATAAAACACAACATTTACTGGGTGCTTAACTTTACTGGTATTTGGCAAGCCTAAAGTTATTATTTTCATTCAATTATATTATGAGTCTATCGTTTTTTATTTGAGGTGTTTATTGAAAATACATTGGAGGTGTCGATGATGTCTAAGTTAGTCAGTCTACTCTCTGTCGCTCATAGATAGCACAGAAGATGTGGGTTTTAATCATGTGTGAAAATATAATTTCATTCATTGAGTGACTTTGCCTGTTTGTCGAAGTAATCCAACTTTTAAATAATTATATTGTTTTGATAGGGGTTTAAACATTTACAGGGGGCTCTCGTGGCCTAGAGGTTAAGGTGTTGGCCTCTCATTCAAAGGTCCCGGGTTCGATTCGGGTAGCGACCAAAAAATTTTCTTCTCTAAAATTGTCTCCTTTCACATCCTTTCCTGATCTCTAACAATGTTCTGTTGTCTGCTTTCATTTCCACTTTCTGCCCCCACCCCCTCACCTCCTTTGCCCCCTCCTCTGGGCTCCTGACTCTTTCTGCAGCCTTTCTAGTGCTACTCCTTGGCTCCTCCTAACTACTGTCTTTCTGCCACACCCCTGATCTTCTGGTAGGAAAGATCTACACCTAGCCTTCTCGGACAAGGGCGAAAAATCTCGGAGGGCCCGTGTGCAAGTTGCGCACGTTAAAGATCCCTTGGTGGTCTAAAATCGATAAGAGTAGGCTTCGGCCGCCACCCGGGCAAAATTCAAAATGTCCTACCAACGAAAAAGTATTAGGTGTGTCCCGCGCGCTCATATGACCTTATGCAGTTGCGAGCGCCGTAAAACCCTATACTAAACAAACAAACAAACAAACATTTACAATTGCACTTACAGGTTTACAGTTACTTGTATTATGAAAATACCTTTTAGTTTTGTCAAAAATATTATTCTTTATTGCATGTGGAAACTCGAGAGTTTTCGTGCACTGAAAATCAATACAAGAGGTAAGTCATGCCATAATATTATACGTATAAAAAGTGTAGAATCTAGTTGTGATGGTGTGTAACCTGTCGACTCGTTGTTTCTTTGTTTCTCTCTGCGCATGAGTAGGTCATCTTTTCGTGCTTCAAGGGAGAGGAAACCTATTCACCCGAGTGAATATATATGTGTGTGTGTGTATGTGTGTGTGTGTGTGTGTGTGTGTGTGTGTGTGTGTGTGCGTATGCGTGAGAGAGCAAGATAGGGACAGACAGACAGAGATAAAGAGAAAGAGAGAGAGAGAGCGAGAGAGAATATATGAGAAGAAGTGGTGTAAGGGAGGTGTGAGAAAGAGATAGATAGATAGATAGATAGATAGATAGATAGATAGATAGATAAATAGAGAGAGAGAGAGAGAGAGAGAGAGAGAGAGAGAGAGAGAGAGAGAGAGAAAACTGGTGTAATAAGTTGTTGTTTTTTAAAGTAGATCTAATGAAATAGCTACAAGTGTGAAGGTTTTTTTCTGGGGGTTTTTTTGTTTGTTTGTTTGTTTACTTGTGTATTATTTTAGCGAAAAGGGTTATTTCTCTGTTTTTCAAACAGCATTATATACACTTTCTGCCCCCACCCCCTCACCTCCTTTGCCCCCTCCTCTGGGCTCCTGACCCTTTCTAGTGCTACTCCTTGGCTCCTCCTAACTACTGTCTTTCTGCCACACCCCTGATCTTCTGGTAGGAAAGATCTACACCTAGCCTTCTCGGACAAGGGCGAAAAATCTCGGAGGGCCCGTGTGCAAGTTGCGCACGTTAAAGATCCCTTGGTGGTCTAAAATCGATAAGAGTAGGCTTCGGCCGCCACCCGGGCAAAATTCAAAATGTCCTACCAACGAAAAAGTATTAGGTGTGTCCCGCGCGCTCATATGACCTTATGCAGTTGCGAGCGCCGTAAAACCCTATACTAAACAAACAAACAAACAAACATTTACAATTGCATTTACAGGTTTACAGTTACTTGTATTATGAAAATACCTTTTAGTTTTGTCAAAAATATTATTCTTTATTGCATGTGGAAACTCGAGAGTTTTC